GAAAGATCGAGCTCGGAAAGCTGCCGAAATCATACCAGGGTCGAAAAGAAACTCAAGACTACCAGCTATTCTCCATCCCAGAAGCTCTTCGGTCGAGACCTTCGTCTGCCTTGTGACCGCCTGTTTAGTCGCCCTACGGATGCGCCTTCATCGCCTGAGGAACACATCCAAGATGCCCAGGCCCGGTTTGAGGGGATGCACCGTTCTGCACGAAAGCGAGTCAACTTGGCGACGGAGAAAATGAAGACCAGATGTGACACAAGAGCTACTAGACAGAGATCCAACAAAGGAGACAAGGTGTGGTTGTGCGACCCAATTCAACGAAAAGGACTGAGTCCTAAATTATAGTCACCTTGGGATGGGCCGTACACAGTCCTAAACAGGCTGAATGACGTCGTGGTTCGGATTCGTAAGTCTTCGAACTCTAAACCTAAAGTCGTTCATTACGACAGGTTAGCTCATTATTAAGGCCATAGTACATAATGTAAATAATTGTAAATAGTATAAGACCATGGTCCATTTTGTTTTTAAATGTGTATTTGATTTGTATTTGATAGCATTTGATTTGTTTTATGTATTGCATTTATTGTTCATGTTGTTTATTATTGTAATGTAATGTTTATGCCTCAGTTGCATTTATGCCTCAGTTGTAAGTTTAGCTTCCTGTCCAGGGATCGTACTGCCCGGGACGTGCAGCCCTTAGGAAGGGGGCAGTGTTACGAATTTGGTATTTAAAAAGCTAATGTTAGTTCAATTATAAATTAAATGGTTTTATTTCTCGCGCAGTGCAGCGCGTGACGAATATTAAAAGAAAGCTAAGCCGGAAAATTGAAAATACAAGAGCGCGTGCATGCATTAAATAAATAAATAACTCTTTTACATTTCGAGAAAGTACTGAAAAATTCTAGCGCGTGATTTTAAAATCTTATAAAAGGAGGAAAACAACTCAGTTTGTAGGAGTTGCTTAGTTTGTTGTTGTTTAGAAAACTACTGTTGTTGATTGTAGCGAATTCGCGGATTAGCGTTCTTTAGCTGTTTTGAATTACGTTCTATTGGACATTTGAGTAGTTAAAAGAAAACTACTGTGAGATATTGTAATACTGCATGATAATTTGAGAAAATTTAAGCATTTTTGTTGTGATAATAATAAATTTTTGTTCATTTTTCATCGGACTTGTGCATTCATTTCATAACGAACCCGTACGCACGCAACAATATCTTAAATGTGGCATCAACTTTCTTAAAAGTAAGAATACTGATTCGAAAATTTCCATTATTTTTGCAACTTAAAGAATTTAATTGTGTATTAATTTAAAATTAATATAATTTCTTTATAAAATTAGGCTTATGTATTTATTTTTCGAAATAGATTTCTGTTTAAACTCACGTCGAAAATACTTGATCCCATAATCTTGGAGAGGCATTCTTTAGGAAAATTTTTAAAGTCTTGCAAATTTACCATCATTCCTCACTGCCGCGGAGCCGAAAAATAGCGTCATAGATCTAACTAAATAAGTGGGAATGGCCGGGCTTCCAGTTCAACTTGACCATATATTTTATTTATTTTATTGCGTTCGGAGAATTTTGAGCTGCTTACGTACTAACATAACTGCTTTGGCGCAATATAACGATTTTTTACCGGTGAAATAGTAAAAGTTATTTATCGTCTGGAAGTTGGTGGTTTTCACGGCACTTCTTAAAAAGACTCCAAAACTTTCGATATTTATAGTATTGGGTCAGTTCATAAATTCGTGAGCATTTTTTGGTAAATTTTTAAATAATAAAAAAAACACAATTTAACATTTTAATCAATTATATATTTTCCTCCATTATCTACCTACAATGTCTCGCCATCTTACAGGCAGTTTTTTTATGCCATTGCTGTAGAAAGACTGGTTTTGATGCAAAAAAAAACTTGAAAGTTCATTGTGTACATCCTGTTTAAAATTTAATTTTGTTCTCAGTTAAAAAATTTTGTAAGGCACAAAATAAGTGAAAATCACTTTGGACAATATCTGGGAAGTAAGCAGGATGAGGCAAAAGCTCCCAATTAAATTCACTAATTTTTTGCTGCGTTGTTCGAACCGTATGCGGTCTAGCGTTATCATGATGAAACAACACTTTCTTGATATTCACCAATCGTGGGCGTTTTTTGATCAATTCTGAATTTAGACGACAAAGTTATTCACTATAAACATCTGAATGAATCGTTTGATTTGGTTCTAACAGTTCAAAACGTCCTGAACGGGTTTCATCATCCATGCTGCTTTTTCCAACTTAAAATTTTTAAAACCATTTCTGGGCAGTCCTTATACTAATAGTGTGTTCACCATGTACACTATTAATTTTTAGCGTTGAAAACGTAGCAGATTCACCACACGAAAATAAAAAATGTAGCACAGCGCGTTTGTACTGATTATCTACATATATTCATCTTCTATGGGTACTAAAATGCGTTCGATATTTACGAAAGTTGGTGATGAACTGAATAATATGTTAGTCAAATGATAACAAGTTTCAACAGGTTCTAAATTGTATTGTTTTAGTAAATGCGTCATAGTGAATTTTCTGCATACTCTTAATGCGCACGAACTTATGGACTGACCAAATCGACTAACATTATCAATCTATGAAAAGAAAACATTCTTTAGCAACTTAAAGTATATATTTTAATTATTAAACAAGGATTACGTGATACCTTCAAAATATTCATTCAAACATTTTTCATCAGATCTTTCTGTAATTTTTTACCACTATTCTTCTTCCCAATTACACAGCGATCTGTTTTCGTTTAAAAAAACATCAGAAAATTTCAGCCTCGCTATCGCGCAAACCTCGGCAACGCCAACTATCTACCAAACACGTCTTCCTGGTGTTCCCTTTAGAGATTTTACAGACAAAGTTCTGTATTCTTGCTGAAGTTTTACCGCAATTTCTTCAATTGCTGGTAAATTCCACAAGCTTATATTTTAAAATTAAGGGGGAAAATAACAAGATTTGCTTATAAAAACCTTTGGAACATGAAATGCAGCAAAAAGAGCGCATACGAAAATGGCGACGTTGCTTGACTGAAGGATTGCTATGAGGATGGTTGCCTGAAGAATGGTTTTGTGCATGGTTACCAGAGTTTGGTACAATCTGAAAATTTGGCGACTGCTACTAAGGTGGCTGCGACAACTCATAAATATTAGTTTTTGTTTACTTCCTTGCCTTCAACATTACTTATCTTGCTGTCTGGTGCTTGCTGAATGTATTGAATGCTATATAATGAACAGAAACATGACGAAATGAAGAAAATGCAGGTTGTCTGATTCGCGGAGAGAAGAAGTCCTCACCGACTCATCCTTCCCTTAGCCAGATACTCATCGAGTGCTTTGCCATAATCAAATAAATTCAAATGAGCAAACAACTTTAAGAAATCAGACATAAAAGACATCAGGAAAAAGCATATAAGTAATTGGAAGCAGTCTGGCTGAAGCTGGGAGGAGTTTATTTACTTGTACCTGTTTTGTTAAGTGGGCGGAGAGAGCACCCATTCGCTGAGACTATTTGTTCTTTCAGCTGATCTGACACATCATCAGTATCCACCCTTCCTGTGGTGGACTCTGGGCAATGCTTGCTCAGACACTGAGATAAAATAATAATAGTAATAATCGGCCTAGTTGAGACTATACAATCCTCTCTGATTATTCGAACAGTTCAGATAATTCAGTTGCCTTTTTCTGCAAGGAAAGGGGTATTTATTTCAAGATTTCAATGCAAAGGAATATTTTTTAATGGCAGTTTATTTTAGTAAAAACTTTAAGTTAAATATTTTAATATTTTCTCAATAAAACAAAATTCAAAAGCTTTTTAATTTTTGACGAAATTAAACAGCAAAGTTTTTTTTAATTATTGTTTACGTGAGCATTCAAAAATAACTCACATTTCAGTTAAGCTGGAGTGGAACTTTTAGTTGAATTTTGACTATATTAATAATGTAAGAAAAATGAAATTAGTATTTACCTTGCTAAAACTAAAATGCATAAATCTGTTGTTATTTTTCTAAAACCTAAAGCTAAACAAAGATTTTTTTTTATTTGCACCAAGAAAAACCATTTCTTTTTCGTTAAACTGAAATAAAACGCTATCATTGTAGGGATAAAATAGTAAAATTAACAGAATAATTCAAAATTAAATATATATATATATATATAGTACTTGTGTTTTATATTATCCAAGTCAATGAAAAATTTAAAAACATTTAAGAAAATTAATAATGATGTAAAACAAATAATGCACATACGAAACACAAGTATCTGAAATTCAGATACGTAGACTTTTGGGACTGTTGATTTTTTTTTGGGGGGAGGGGCTCCTGAAGAAGAGTGACCTGTGTCTGATTGCCCTCGAAATCGAAGATTGTTCTCTTGAATTAGATTAAATTGTGCTGTATCAGTTATATTGTTCTGATATTGTTGTATTGTTCCTATTCTAACCTAAGATTGAGTTTCCAAAGCCCTTTTGTGCACTGGAAATATTTTTTTATGTTAAATTTAAATAAATAAAAATACGTGTTCGCTGTTGACATATCTGATAAAAATTGTAAATTCATTTTAAAAAGTAGTTTATTTTTAATTTTTACGATTACTGAAATGACTCCATAATAAAGCCATAATATCCATAATAAAATCCATAATAAAGCATTCTTGGGAAGCATAAGATACAACTGCTACTGATACATCAAATAAAATGTTGCCACTTTTCCAATTTTAAAAAAGAAAAGAACGATAATCATAATTGTCTTTTATATCAGAAACTACGCTGGCGATGATGGCATTGTCAAAGGCATTATAAAAGATCTCCTTCAAATCGATAAAACTTCAAAGAATAAACTCGTGCAGTAGGAATGACCGGTCGATATTGTGGCATTTGGCAATCTGTCTGGTGGCGCTAAAGCGCCAAACTTGGCGCGCCTTAGAGCGTTTCCTTTCAAATACTTTCGATTTAAAATGCGTCTGTCTCGCGGGCGGTATAAACAAAAGCGAGCTTACCGGCAAAACTGAAACATCGAAATGGAAAGTGAAAAGAGCGAAACTTGGGAGAATAAAAGATTGGAGGAATTACGAGAGGGTGATTTCATAGTGACTCCTGGAGGTGACATATCGAAGCAGGAGGTACCGCACTGGTACGATGCGAAGCAATTCAACAGAGCTAAAAAAGTGTATAAAGATTATTTTGCAAGGTACGCCTATTCGATACTTTAAGTTACATTTTAAAAATATTTAATTATTGTCATGCAGCTCTTAAAGTGTTTTAAAAGTTCTTATCGTTATCGAAATACCAAATAGATATTTTATTAATAAATTATATAAAGATAAAACAAATTCTATAAGGTATCATCGCACCATAAACAACTTATTAGCAAATGGATAATCTTAAATTGTAAAAAATTATCTTTTTTTAAGAAAATTCCATAAGAAATGATAGCAAATAGATATTTTATTTACAAATTCCATAGCTAAATATCAATATTGTATCTGCAGAAAAACCAATATAAAACGTTTCTATCATTTTGTTTATTAAATTATTCATAATTTAATATAAATTATAATTAATAATATATTAATTATTGTTTTATTTATTTTGTTAAATTCGTTTAGAAATAAATTTGCAGTGATCTTCGTTATACTCTAAATTGATCATTAAAAAATTGAAGCATATCCACTTTTATTATTTTTTTAATTTATTTATTTATTTAATTTTATTTAATTTTTTGCTTTTTACTTCCTCGTATAAAGTAATGGAAGTATTATAATCGTGAAAAATTTCGGTTATCAGATTTCTACGGAAATATCCTTTTTGACCATTTTTTCTGCGTGACGTCTGTATATACGGACAGACTAAAGGACTCTTTGTTCCAAAACTGATTGTAAAATGGAAACAAAATGGATTTTTTTCGTCACGTCTGTACGTACGTATGTACCTCGCATAACTCGAAAACCATTACACATAGCCTCAAAAACTATTATCCTTACCCGGCCTTTATTTTCGCAATCGTTGGTGGTAGACACATACTTAATTTACAGAAGTCTTTTTTTTTTTTTTTTTTTTTTTTTTTTTTTTTTTGGGGGGGGGTAATTATAAATTAAGAAAAAGAAAAAAAAAAAAGAATTTTGGACAAATAACGAAATCTAACTATTAATGCGATCTCCTGTTTTCTATACTTATATTTGGGAAAAGTTTTATACTCATTATGAAAAAAATTAAAGTACAAGAAGTTTGACTCCCGTAAGACAAAAATTGAGCGGGATATTTAAATTCAAAATTTGCAATTTTTGATGTCATTGGTTAATTAAGTTAGAATAACTCAAGGAAGAAAGTTTTAAATAAAATACAGCAAAAAATGTATACAATTAAATAAGCTGTAACAAGGAAATCGGATTTTTTTTTTTTCTGGTTTTGTTAAATTCATCCACAAATAGATTTACAGTGATCTTCATATTACTCTAAATTGATCATTAACATAACTGAAGCATATCCACTTTTTTTTTTTAGAAGAATTTTTCTTTATTTATGAAATTTCGTTAATTTTTAACAATTTTAGTAAAAAATATCCGTGAATTAAATAATTCACATTCAGTGTTTTCTAGAATTCGTAGAAACAATTAATTTTAATTCAATTGATTTTTAGTTAAATTTATTTAAAATGTTATACAAAATTTTGTATCATTTGTAAAATAAGAAAAGGAAAAATAACGATTGGTAATATATATATATATGTTACCGTGAAAGACCGAAATTGGAGAATGTCGACTTTCACCGGAGAATGTCAATATTCACCAAATACGTCGGTGAAAGATCGAATATTGCATTACATTCTTGTACATTCGGACCCTCACCGGTGTATGTCGACAATCACAGATATGCTCTGGTGTAGGTCGAAAAGAGAGGAGTATATGTACACGCTGCCATTGCAAAAGGAAGTGTTCCACAAATAAATGCAGTTGTAAAAGCAAGGGCCTCTTGTGCAATTCAAAGTGTCATAATAGTTTAAGTTGTTGCAATAAATAAGATTTGAATCACATAATTTGGTTTATAACTTCTATTATTTTCCTTTCTCATTTTGAATGTACATGTGTGTTTTAAGTTCTTATGTTCTTAAGTTTCTTATTTCTGAGTCTTAAGTGCGTTTTTTTCGCGAATGAATTACGGAGAAGGAAATATAATATTCTTAAATGTGTTCAACATTCACCATTAGTAGATGGTGAATGTCGACATTCACCGGTGTAAGTCAGAAATAAGAGTATTTGGAAAATATTTCGAACATACATCAAGCGACTATGTGAATGTTGACATTCACCGGTGAAAGTCGACATTCTCCAGATTTCGGTGTTTCACCGTAACATATATATTCTAGTTCAGAGCTTCTAAATATTTTTATATATGAATTCTTTGACTATTCGTCAATAAAACGCATTTAAGTCAGAATGAGTCAGAACAAAATAAAAAATAAATGTATTCAGAAAAGAATTGCAGTTTTACTTGTATATATTAATTAAAGACATGTAAATTTTGAAGCGCGCCGCCCAACCAGCATAGTGCTTAGCGACGCTAATTGCCGTTTCGAAGGATCTGGATTTGAATCCCGGAGAAGGCATGGATTTTTGCAAGCATATAGTGTCTGTACAGAAAGAGGTACTCAAAATACACGGTGAGCAGAAAGTCTTCTCGAGACTTCTCTGGTAGGGCAGAGGGGAGGGAGACCCTCGGACCCGTCCCCCTGGGGTACTCTCCTTAAAAATTGGATGCGGTACTGACCAAAGTTGTACTGTCTCCAGTGTAGTGCTCAGGGCTCTTGCCAACGGCTGACACAACCTTGCACTCCTTGCCACGATGAATTTTGTGGATTTGTTCTGATGTTGACTGTCAGACAAGTCAGATAAGTCACAACAACAACAACAAATTTTGAAGCGCGGTTTTCGAAAGTGAAGTTTTTTAATTTGCGATTGAAATACTTTAGTGCGAAGTCTATTCTGTGTTGTTGCTTTAGTCAAAGCAATAGAGATGGCATTATAAATGTATTCGCTCTTCAACGAAGAACTTATTACAGAATGCCATTGGAGCTAAGTCCATGTGTGCTTTTTACTTAAATATGGACAGAATTTTGAAATTACTTTTGTAAACGTAGAGACAAAAGTCGCATTCCTTTTTAAGAGTCAGAGTTGGTATTTTTAAGGTACTTAAATGTATTTTTAAGGTACTTAAGAATACGTTTAAGGTACTTAAAAATACATTTTGTCAGCAAAAGATAAATGTTGGGATGTATTAAAAAATTCTCTCATTCAGTGCTAAATGAAATCAAAATAAAAATCTTGTTCTTATTTGTTCCGCCAAGATTACAAATACGAATTCCGCCACGATTGACACTAGCACTACACCGGATTGACCCCACAACTTAGGTGGGAGGTGGTGGGAGGTGGGCATAAAGTCAAAGCTCCCCAGAAAGGAGCTTTTCAAAGACAGCTCCCAGAGAGGCTTCCTCTCGTTGCGTTATCACTTGGTGCGACACCCCTCTGTTCTTAATACACAGGCGGGGGACTTTTTAAATTTGAACCCTCTCATAACACTTAAAGCTGAACTGGCTTTCTAGGACAACAAGGTGTTGGCTCAGGCCTTGTAACTATCTAGAAGGTATTGCCTGGGGTCCTCATTTTCGGAGCCGTGGATACCACAAAGGGTGGAGAAGTAATCTGTAAAGCCGATATGTGGCCATCACGTTATCCACTCGGTCTGGGACGCATGTAAGCAAATTGCACGCTTCTAGGACAACTGCTGGAATCTGTCCAATGACATGGTAGGCAAGTATTACAATTAATTCCGCCCACAATGTTATCACATTGCCAGAAGTTTATTTATATTCTGCTGTTCATATGCTACAACTGAAAGTCGGCAGAATATGCTGCAAACTAACTGAAAAAAAATATCAGTTTTAACACCATTTATGGACAAATATAAACCAGTTGGCAGAAAACGCTTCAATTACACCTGTAACGGCATGGACTACAAATCGATTTATATGGTGTCTATCATGAACGGAATTTTGTAACGTTAGTAGTTCAAAATAATTTTGGCAGCGACAGAATGTTAACAAATTTCAGGCCTAGAGATATCATCACTACGGGTGGAGTTAATGGCGATGTTTATCTGGGTTGTCATTGGCTAAATTCAAGCCTTTGTTTTGATTGTGTTCAGTTTGCTTATATGCGGGACAGCATAAGCTGGAAAAGGATTCGTGTGTTTTATGCTTCCAGAGCCGAGACTGTTGGACTGTAATACTAAGCCATTTTGTACCACCCGGTGGGGGGGGGCAAGGTGTAGCCATTTTTCCAATAAGGTGATTTAAACAGCTGTAATCAGAATAAGGATAATGTTAAAAGGGAACGAAAGCAAATTTATCGAAGAAATGTGGATACAGAGGAAGCAAAGAAATGTGAGTTAAGTATTCTCCAACAACTTATAACTGCGATCCTTTGCCAATAGCATGAAGCAGGGTGTACAAAAACGCACAAAGGTGAAGGTTAACGTGGAAACAAAGAATACAACTAAGGTTCCACACTGACCATTTTCATCTCCCATGTTTGGTTTCATCGGTTCGAAACGAGAACGCAACTAATGCTCTTTGTTGTCAGAGGATCATGTGGCGGACAATTAGGATAACTTGATTCCTCCCCCCCCCCATTTTCTGCGGATGTCAAATCACTATATACGCAGCACATCTGTAGAATGTTTTGTCAAGAATGAAATTTTTTAGACTTGTAGTTAATATATATGTTAAGCTTTTATTCTGAATTTTTTAAAAATAAGATGTGAATTTATTTTAAAAAATAAATTTAGCCGAAGGATCACTTACCTTATTTTCGCAAGTCGGAAATAAATAGACTTACAAAAATCTGTTCTCCAAACTTTACAACCTGAAAAATCATTTCTTGATATATTTATTTGTGAAAGATAAAGCAGTATTAACCGATACTTTACAGACTTTTTTAATCTAAAATATCGATCTGAAATATCGATCTCTTATTCCTCTCTTCGTAAATTTCTTAGTCTCTTTAATTGCTCTGTTAGTAAATTTCTTAGTCCTCAATATTATAAGGAAAAAGGATATACAAGGTGGTGGGAAAAAAAAAAAAAAAAAAAAAAATCCCGGCTCAACCAATCGAAATGAAATTTCAGCTTTTATTA